TTTTACTTGTACTCAGTGGGAGAGTTATTATAAATTACCTATCTACTGTTACTGTAAACAGAAGTTATTGTTCTTTTCTATTCTATAATTTTTATCTGGGTCCAAATCTGCTATGTTGCTTTTTTTTTTTTTTTTTTTTGTTTTTCCGTGTCCGGCAACGGATCGCAACCCTCAGTGTTGCCCCCATACCGGACCGGGGACCGGCAATGGGATTGCAACCCTCGGTGTTGCTCCCGCGCCTCGCTCAGACAGTGAGCGGGAACCGGTCTGTATGTGGGATCTGAACCCTCGGGCGGGAGCGCCGCCACGCTTCCCAAGCGGCGCACTATCCAGTGCGCCACCGGGCCGGCCCGCTATGTTGCTTTTTATGGTTTCAAGTTTCTATGGTTTTTTGAGGTTGGCTTTTTCAAAAAAAAATGTAGTAGTCTGTATCTGATATTTCCAGTATCAGTAGTTATTCTGTATTTGTTTTTAATTGCCTATATTTTCTGATATTTCTTACTTATAGTATCTTATTTCTTTGTATGCCTGATCATCTTTGATTTTATGCTCAACGTTATATTTGAAACATTGTTTTCTAGTAATAATTTGAGGCTAAAATGAAGATATTTTCCTCCAGAGACAATTTTTATTTTCTTCTTTCATATTCATGAGCACTGTGCCAGGAATAATTTATTGTCTCTCAACTCCAAAACACTCCTTTTTGACCTGCCTTGTGATTCTGGAGCTGGACTCTGTAAATATTTCTCTTTTGTCAAGTGGTTGGATTTTAGATTTTTGTCGATTATAGAGGGAATGTAGTTTTTTAGCAAGAGGATGAAGTTTTCCAGATTTTGGTATGCTTCTGTTTTTGGCATAGATGCAGGCAGATCACCATATGGGAGGTCTGGTAGTTCACCTCAGCATTTTTCATGGACCACATCTGTCCTACCTGCATTCTCTGGTAAGTTTCTCTACCAACTGGCTGATCACTCTATGAACCATCTCTGGCCTTCATCCTCTGGTGAATTTCTTTACCATTGGCAATCTGTACATTCTGTGGCAGCCATGCCCTTTCCAATGAAGATCGATTCCTTGGTGGTCATTGGGGGCTCTTCTAAATTTTTAGTTTCTTCTTATGCCTTTTCCCTTCACCCTAAAAGTAGTAGCTTGCTCTGTATTTGCTGTTTTAGAAAATATCCCATTAGAGTCATCTTTTACCCCTTTTGGTAATTAACTACCTTTACTAATTAACAGTTATTTCACACTGGGAAGTATTTAATGAAAGAACTGAGTAAATATTTATTGGGTACCCAATATGTACCAGAGATTGTTCTAAGTGTTTGGAATTATAGTAAAGAGCTTATACTTGAGTGGCAGAAAAAAGGCAGTTAAAAAAATAAACTGTAAATATCAGATAGGGATATCCTGTCATTAACAATCAGGTGGCAATAATGTTATAGCTTATAGTACTAAGATGACAGTAAAAAAGGATGATGTGTTAGAGAGTAACCAAGGAGGTGACATGAAGCTGAGACCTGAATAACAAAAGGAGCCAGCCGTGTAAAGATCTGGGAGGAGAGTGTTGCAGGCATGAGACAGTTAGTGCAATTCCCAAATAATCGAAAAAACGACCTAAACAAATTGCTGCATGTTCAGTTGAAACAAGAGACAGACGTTTATCATTTTTCGTCTGTGTAGAAAATATAGAACCCTTCCTAGTATATGTATGTATTTCCCTGTGGTGTTTAATATAATGGTGAGATCCAGCTGTTACAGAACCTGCAGGCAGAGATCCTCCCTCTTCCCATCCTCTCATAGTCACTCTCTGTGACCTAGGATGAGCCAATAGAATGTTCTACCTGGGACTTTGAATCCTGAGGGCATAACTTAGAGAAGCAATTTTTAGAAATGCAGAGTTTAGAAATTACTTATGATGTTGGTGTTGAGTGTGTGAGACAGTGTGGTCCATGATGGCAGTGGGGAGGTGGTGGAAGCTTCCTAACTAGGTGTGACCCTGACTATGACCTTGACTGTGGTTCCTGCTACCTAGCTTTCCAGGCTTCAAATCTCTTTTTCTAGTCTCCCAATTAAGTTTTACAAAATATACCTTTCTAAAGTTAAGTTTACCAGAGGGGTATGTGTGTTTGTGTGTGTGTGTGTGTGTGTGTGAGAGAGAGTATGTATACTCACTTAAAATAAAAACTTTCACTGATACACATTTTATTTATCTTCTTATTTTAATTTTTGGTAGGTAACATATGCATATGCTATAAAATTTAAATGAGTTTTTCTGCCACCTTAGTATATAACTATTTAGTTCTGCTTCCCATAAGTATCTACTACTTTATTGTACATCCATCAGAGGGATTCTATTCATGTACAAACAATAATTCATTGAACTTTCAAAAGGAGAGAACAGAACTGAAGCCATCAGAGGTGGGAAAGTGGAAGGGGGAGGGAGGTTAGTGAGAAATTGGTATAGGTCCACAAAAAAATGATTACATTGTATAATGTTGAATATACTAATTATCCTGATTTGAGCATCACATATTGCACACAGGTATTGATACTCAGTGCTGTACTCCACAGGTATATATAATCAATTATGTTTTGGAAAAAAAAGTTAAAAAAAACATGGGTGTGTATGTGCATATATCAAATGGCAGCATACTCTGCTCACTGACCTACTTCTTCTTTCTTTCACTTAATATATCTTCGTGATTATTGCATATCAGTAAACATAGAACTGCTTCATTCTTTTTAACTGCTGCATTTTATTTCATTATATAGATATATGTTAATTTACTTAACCTGTAGTATATTTGCTGTGTGTTTTTTTATACATTCCGGGACTTTTTATTTTAATAGGTAAGGTTAGCCTATTTATAATTATAGTGTAACAGATAAGTTTGATCTTAGTTTTCATTTTATTTCCCCTCTACAGTCATGATAGCTTAGTGGTTAAGAATAGGAAATCTAAATTTCTTGCATACAAATCAGGATCTGGGTGAATTTATAGAGGAGATGTTCTAGACACAAAGGAAGAACTAAACAGAAATGAAATATTTTCAAGAAAAGACAGAGGCCACAATTCCTAGGTTCTAATCCTGCCTCTACCAGTTTTCGCTATGTGACCTTGCACAAGTTCCTTTTAACCTTTGTGGGCTTTAGTTTCCTCATCTACAAAACAGGATAATAATTGTACCTTTTTCATAGGGTTTTTGTGCTTACAATATAGTGCCTAAAGTGTAGTAAGCACTATGTAAGTACAGTATTAGTTATTATTATTTACAATATCATGTTGTTTTATTACTCTTTTAAAAATATTTTTTCTGGGCCGGCCCGGTGGCGCACTGGATGGTGCGCCGCTTGGGAGGCGCGGCGGCGCTCCCGCACGAGGGTTCGGATCCCACATACAGACCGGTTCCCGCTCACTGGCTGAGCGAGGCGCGGGAGCAACACCGAGGGTTGCAATCCCGTTGCCGGTCCCCGGTCCGGTACGGGGGCAACACTGAGGGTTGCGATCCATTGCCGGACACGGAAAAAGACAAAAGACAAAAAAATATATATTTTTTCTGTGTGATCTCTGAATTCCTTATTTTATATTGGATGTGTTTCCTTTGGTAATTTGGAAAGATTTGATTTTTGTGCTTTGGTTACCTTGATAACTATAGCATTATAAGATATACTTACTCCTTTGCAATGTAAAGATTATATTTCTATTTCCTCCTCTCTCCCACTCATCTACCATCTGATCTGAGATTTTTTTTTAGTGTTTATCATTAAATCTGTGAATATAATTAGACTTTGTAATTTAAATTTTCAGGTCAAAAGATATTTTGACCCATTGACAAGGAAATCAGCACACACACTTTTATATTGTTTGCATCTTCACTTTCCTTTCCTACAGTTGTTAAATAATATCATTTGTGCATTGCTGAGTTTAAAATATTCACTTTCTATTTTGTAACCATGATGCCCACATTTGTATAAGATTTAGTTTTGCACTGAACAGATTAAGTGTTCATGTTCAAAAATTTTCTCTGTTGCCTTTTACTCTAATGATAATTTGGTAGAGTATAAAGTTCCTGGGCCGCCTTTCTTTCCTTGAAGATTTTGAGGGCTATGTTCTAGTGATTTCTTTCCCTTTAAAGGTGGCAACATTTTTTTCTGTTGAGTGTTAGTCTTCCATTTGTGTTTCTTTGTCTTTTCTTCCTCTTTTCTTATAGTATCTCTGAATAGATCCTGGATTGGCTCCTTTTTGGTGGTTTCTTATCTTGTAATAAAGTGTCTTTCTTAGACCTGCTATTTGTAGGAGGTTCATTTGTGGGAGAAGCTAGGATTTTGTTCCAGGCTAGGTTCATAATGATGTTCCTTATGTTATAGTCCTGCGTGTGGGATTGAATTCTGTTAACTTTAATTTCTCTGAAACTTGTAGTTACAGGTTTGTTCCTAATGAATTGTGTTGACTTCTACTCCACCTCACTGACAGATTGTTTCCAACAAATGTGTTTCTGTGTGATTACTTATTCAGCCATCCCTCCCCTGCTGTTCCTTGGTGCCATTCAGTTCTAGGGATGCTTTCACTGATGCCCGTGAACCCTGTTATGTCAAAGAAATATATATATATATATTTTCCATAATATTTCATAAACTCTTGCCCTATCAGCTTTGTAACCACAGACTATCTTTTGGTGTTTTCCTAAACTCCTGTTTGACCTTGATTATATTTAGCAGTCCCACCTCATTCGTTGTAGGTAGGGGTCATAGGTCCCTCTTAGTTTTATCAAAGAGGGAGACACATTTCTTTTTCTAAGTGGCTTTATTGTGCTCTCTGAGAGGAGAAAGGAGCAGTATGGTCTTTCCACTAATTTAAAAACCAGGATATGCTTTTATAATTTATACTGTCTATGCAGTTTATTTATATGTTTTTCTTATGCTGAGATCTATTTTAGATTGTGTCAAGTTGCTAATAATTTGATATAGTAAAAGCTATTTTTCATTTTTTTTTATAACAGCAACTGAGGCATGAAAATTTGGTGAATCTGTTGGAAGTGTGTAAGAAAAAAAAAAGATGGTACCTAGTCTTTGAATTTGTTGACCACACAATTCTTGATGACTTGGAGCTCTTTCCAAATGGACTAGACTGCCAAATAGTACAAAAGTATTTGTTTCAGATTATTAATGGAATTGGATTTTGTCACAGTCATAATGTAAGTATTAGATTCAAATAATTATTTTGCCAATCATTATCCAGATACCAGTCAATTAATTTAGTGAGACACCTGTTTAAACTGAAGTTTGAACCAGTAAATAATTGAAATTAACTATGTTACTTTTGATATTGCAAATTTTCATGTATCATAATACATGTATTCTTTCCCCTCAACATTTTATTGTGAAAATTTTAGGCTATACTGAAAAGTTGAAAGTTGCACAATAAACACAATACCCACCATCTAGATTCCGTATTAACATTTAGTTGTATTTGTTTTATCACATATTTATTTATTAATCTATTAATATGTCTTATTTGTTTATGCATTTGAAAGTAAGTTGCAGGCATCAGTACACTTCAACACTAAATATTTCATCTGTGCATATCATTAACTAGAGTTAAATATTTGTTTGCTGTTCTTTTTGTTTTTTTGAGGTAATATTTACTGAGTGAAATGAACAAATTTTGAGATGAGTTTTGACAAATGCATACACCCAAGGATCTATATATTTGTTAATTTATGTTCTCTTGCCTAGTTATGTATGAAGTATAAAAGTATGAAAATCTCTACCCTTGACCCTATAGACTATTACAATAATTGATATCCTTTGAGTATCACGTAAAAGCACCTCCGAGAAAAAGTGACACCTATAGAGTATAAAATGAATAACTCAATACATAGATTCTCCCAGTTTTACCAAATATTTTAAATGACTTTTTTGTGTGATAATAAAAGTAATAAATGCTAATGGAAGGAAATTTGAAAAGTAAAGATAATCATAAAAAGAAGAAAAAATCATCCATATACCTACCACCTAAACATTTGGTGTATTTCTTTTCAGTTTTCTTCTTATTATTATTACTATTCACTGTATTTTTTCCCCACTGTCTTTTGTTGTGTAGTTTTATTATATAGTGAGATATATTGTGTAGTTCAGATATATAATAGAAAAATTGCTCAGTAGAGGCAGATATCTAGTTTCTATCTGGGAAAACACTATTAGGCCTTTGTTAGAAGGCCTACCAAGTTGGCCTCCTGGCAACTTTGGAATGATCTAGGCTCAGAAAATTGATTATGGGAAACCTAATTTTGAGACTGTATTTGTCTCTTAGGGCAGACTTGCATTAACCAAGTTCAGGAGACTGAATGCCAGTTTAGCAAGTTAGAAAGAGAGAAAATTGTTACAGGGATAGATGAACTCTACATGAAATCTAATAATAATATGGGTGTGCAGGGAAACAGCCCAGTATAAGGTGTTAGTGAATCAAATACTTAATGGCATCAGTTTAAAAGATAGTGATTCATCCTTCTCATAAAAAGGATATCATCCCAAGTGGGCCTGTAATACTTGAAATTAGGTGGCTGAACTCTTTTATGTTCGTCTCTACACTAACGGTAGGCTTGCCAGTGGAACCAGTATACAGAAAAATCATTGACTCTCTATCTTTTGAAGAGTATTTGAATGTGTCCTGCCTACATTTGCTTCTGTGTTCCTTTATGTTTTATACTTTCATGACTAATCAACCCATGTTTAATAACACATTCTACCTTTAGAAATACTAATATTTTCAGGCAATTTAGAGTCAAGTGTTGCTGGCATATATTCAATTCTGTCTTTAAGGCAGGGATTTTTTAACATCCAGTGGTTCCATTCATAAACTTTAGAGCATTCATATATCTCTTTAAATTATGCAAAATGTGAATTTTTATGGGTGAGAGAACTGATCTCACTCTAGTTTATGACTACTCACCTTAAAGTTGCCTGACAGTCAAACTACTTTTTCCTAGTCTATTTATTCTCAAACTCTTCAGATTATGATTTCATACCCTTTCTTCTCAGACTTCTAGTACCTCTTATCCAATCCTCACTCCCAGCTCCCTGTTAAATGGAGACAATAATAACAGCTATCTCATAGGGTTATTGTGAGGATAAAATAACTTAAAACATTTAGAATAGTGCCTGACACATGAATAATTTAGTGTTAGTTATCTTTATTATTATTATTAAAAGTATATCCTAAGGTGTTTTTTTTTTTTTTTTTTTTTTTTTTTTTTTTTTTTTTTTTTTTTTTTTTTTTTTTTTTTTTTTTTTTTTTTTTTTTTTTTTTTTTTTTTTTTTGGCGAGTGGCTGGTACTCAGCATCCGAACCCCTGACCTTGGTGTTACAAGGCTGCACTCTAACCAAACCCTAGGGTCTTGTTTTTTGGGCAGTTAACATTTCTGTTCTTAAAGCAGACAGATAATTATGGTGGGGGAAGGAATAAACACACACGTATATATGTCTCACTTTGAAGAAATGGGAATGTTTATTCTTAAATACATTATTCACTTATGTATGTATCTATATATGTGAGCATTTGAATTTAAAACATTAAAAATAGTATTTTAATCCATTCGTGAGCCAGGCTGAGTAAACATATTTAAAAACAAATTTAAGGTTGCTGTCAATTAAAGTTTGATCCAAATAGTATAGAGCCTTATGAGTTATTTGTAGGCCCCTAAACCACCTTTTTGCTGAAATTGCTAGGTAATAAATTATAATTAATAATTATTACTAGGTAATAAATAATTATTTAGGTCATACCCAGTATTAAAGACCCATGTCAGAACCTTTTGTAAAACTTTCTGGGGCCGGCCCGGTGGCGCACTGGATAGTGCGCCGCTTGGGAAGCGCGGCGGCATTCCCGCCCGAGGGTTCGGATCCCACATACAGACCGGTTCCCGCTCACTGGCTGGGCGAGGTGCGGGAGCAATACCAAGGGTTGCAATCCCATTGCCGGTCCCCGGTCCGGTACGGGGGCAACACTGAGGGTTGCGATCCGTTGCCGGACACGGCAAAAGACAAAAAAAGACAAAAAAAAAAAAACAAAAAAACTTTCTCTGGCCACCTCAGTCTGCGATTACAGGTTTTAGTAAAAATTCTACTTGTATCATCTTGGTTATGCTTAGGTTCTATTGTTGTTATCATAAGTCATAGAGTATTAGAGTTGGAAGGGAACATTATGATCATGTACTTTAGCCCCCTCATTTGGGGAATAAGAAGATAGACCCAGAAAGATGGAGTATCTGTGGCTATTCTGAAAACCTGAGAGTGGAGCCCAGGTTTCCCAGCTCCCAGTTCAGCTTTTTCAGCTCCCAGTTATGGCATAGGTGAACTGGGACTGGACATATGTCCTCACCTCTGATATCTAGGGTAATACAATTTGGTAGCCTATGCAAAATGCTCAGCAATGGAAAATTGCCATTTAGAATGCTGGTCTTCTGAAAGGGTTTAAAACAAATTTTTAAAAATTTTTTCAAAATACAGTTTACTTATATTAGAGAATTATGCCTAATCATTTGTTTTGCCTAGAATTTTTAATATTGTTTCTCTCCCAGCATCCAGTTTTCTCCTTCTAGAGTCTCTCCTTTAGAAATTTTAACCACTGACCTTGTTTTGCCCTCTTTACATTTCTAATTGCCCGATTAATGCCTCTACTTGGGAGCTCAGCTTTCCTCCCAAAACCCCATATGGCTAAAACTAAGCTAATCATAAATCAAAACTTACTTTCTAGACTTTTCTATTTTTGATAATGAACCACCATACCTTAGATTCTCAGGTTTAAGTAAAATACCTGAGATTACCCCTAAGTTCTGTTGATTCTTGATTTAAAGTATTTGTAAACTGTGTCTCTTCCTTTCATTCCTCTGAGCAGCAGCCTAGTTTAGGCCCTTATCACCTGATACTTGTCCTGTGTTCTTCTCCCTGCCACTAGTCCTCTCTGATGTAGCTCGTTTATGGCCCACATCTTTAAACACCATTTTCATCATGTCACTTCCGTGGGTTCCCAGGGCCTGACACAAGTTCACAATTCCCAGAGTGACAGTTGAAGCATCTCTCCTCCCCCTCCTACAACCTTTTTTCTAGAAAAAAACATCCCTACCACAGTCTGTTGGTCTATTCCCATTTCAACCCTTGCTCTCCTTGTTACATTCACTTGGTTTATCCTTCTGTTTCTACATTTATCCAGGTCGTACCTAGTATTAAAAACCTATCTTAGACCCCCCCCCCTTTCATAAAAATTTTTCTTGACCACCCAGTTTTTAATGATAGCTTTACTCAGTCCTGAGAGCACTCATTATCCAAATAGTTGATTTGGTAATTAATGATATATATTTTATTCAATATTTTTGATTGTTTAAATAAAATTTCAAGCATAAATGTTCTTTTTTGCCCAACTAGGTCCCAGGTTCTTTAAAGCTGGGAAGAACTTTATATGCTTTTATCTATACTCTTTTTCTTTTTCTTTTTTTTTTTCCTTTTTGTCTTTTTTCATGTCCGGCAATGGACCGCAACCCTCAGTGTCGCGCCCGTACCGGACCGGGACCGGCAACGGGATCGCAACCCTCGGTGTTGCTCCCGCCCCTCGCTCAGCCAGTGAGCGGGAACCGGTCTGGATGTGGGATCCGAACCCTTGGCGGGAGCGCCACCGCGCTCCCAAGCGGCGCACTGTAGCAGTGCGCCACCGGGCTGGCCCCTCTTTTTCTTTTTCTTTTTTTAGGGTGGAAAAAGCCCCAAACAAACAGTGCCCTGCACATGGAAGGTGCTCAAAAAAGAAAAAAAAATCAATAATCAATTTCGTTTAACATCTGTCATATTCTGATTTTTGTCTTAGATCATACACAGAGATATAAAGCCAGAGAATATATTAGTCTCCGAGTCTGGTGTTGTCAAGTTATGTGATTTTGGATTTGCACGGACATTGGCAGCTCCTGGGGAGGTTTATACTGATTATGTGGCAACCCGATGGTACAGAGCTCCAGAACTATTGGTTGGTGATGTCAAGTATGGCAAGTAAGATATCAGTAATAGGAGGGGGAAGACTTCTCCTCTGTATTCTTGATGAGATGGAATATGTTTACAACATGAGAAGCGATCCCTCTAATACTGAAAGGAAGGCTTGAGTTTAAGGAACTTTATAAAGTGATTATTAATCATTTTGGTGTTTCCCCTTTAAATATTCTTCTGAAACAAGTTGGGGAGATATAGTTATTTTAACGGTGGAGAAATTAAATTGAATAAGTGGTCTGTTTTTTACAGTGGGTTGGAAATAGTATATTTATCACTTGTAAAGAGAGGTTAACATTGACTAGATTAGTCTGACACTGTTGGAATGAGGCAAGATGGAGCAGGCAAGGGTAAGGCAAAAATATATTTGAATGAAATATTTTTAAAACATAAATTGTCTTCATAAGTCAATTCTTCAAAGACGAAAGGATTGTAATTTTTACTGCTTGTGATAAAAATCTTTCTAAGATATTTTCTACAATTTCTCCATTTCAGAGTACACTAAACATCATTTACTATTTTCTTGACTACTCAGTTTTCATTTTACTACCGTGCTATAACTTTTGTACCATTTTATAATTCAGAAATGACCTTGAGCAATTTCCAGGTAGTTGTCCCTATGCTCAGTGATGCTAGCATATTCTTTTGAGTTCTTGTGACTAATTTTGTTAAGATAGCTTTTTAATTGCCTCCGCCGTTAGCTTTCAGTTCTCCTTGTTGCTGCTGTATTTGCCCTCAGCAACCACCTCCTTTTTTTGGCATACTTTTTTCAGTGTATCATGACATAGACTGATCAAGTTTGTTAGAATTATGTGTAAACAAAGAATGAGTGGGCTCTGAATGGAAGCCTGAGAGTCTTATTTGAGAATAAAGTATACATAATAATTGTTTTGGCTTTTCAGAAGCCGTTTCCCTCTTATGTCACATGACTGAAGTTTTTGGAAGTCTCACTTACGTGAAATTGGGAGTTAGAACTTTTAACTTATAGGGAAATGTCTTTTTCCATGTAATTTAAGGCTTACTACTATTATTCTCAATACCAAGAATATCAAATAGTAATATGCAGAACAAATGCAATCACCATCAACATGTTAGGATGCCAGATTATACACCACATTGCTTCTCTTTCAGAGCTGTTGATATTTGGGCCATTGGTTGTCTGATAACTGAAATGCTGATGGGGGAACCCCTATTTCCTGGAGATTCTGATATTGATCAGCTATATCATATTATGACGTGTTTAGGTAAGATTATACATTTGCAAGTGTGTGTGGTTGTGTTGATTTTTGAAGCTATTGATATACTAGAGATGATCCTGTATGTGTTTTAAGTGAAGGTAGGGAGCAAATAGGAAAACCTCATTTATCTATCTATATTTTTTCCTTCTCTTTTTTTTTTCTCAGTTTGGCTTTGGTCTATCAGACATATGTTCTTAATCATGCTCACCTCCCTCTACCCCGCAATAGAGAAGAAAAGAGCAGAGGTTGTGCATTTCTCTGTACTTTTACATTCAGTTAATCACATGTAGACAGGATGCAAATGATCATTTATTATCTTTGGGTCAGTAAGCATTTGGTGTAATGTGACTATTAGTCTCATCTTCACCTTCAAGATGAGAGACAGAAACTTCAAAGGTCGTTTAGTCTTGCCTCAGATTTGACTTTTGTAGTTAGTGCTTTGGACAGAATTTTTTTTTTTTTTTTTTGTCTTTTTCCGTGTCCGGCAACGGATCGCAACCCTCAGCGTCGCCCCCGTACCGGACTGGGACCGGCAACGGGATCGCAACCCTCGGTGTTGCCCCCGCACCTCGCTCAGCCAGTGAGCGGAAACCGGTCTGTATGTGGGATCCGAACCAGTGCGCCACCGGGCCGGCCCTTTGGACAGAATTTCAAAGCAAGTCATATCAAAGTCTTAGATGAAATATCAATTTCATGTTTGGAGATAGAGCTTGGAAGATGGAAATAATGGGAAAACACTTGGGGTTAATTTGACTAGTTGATTTTAGGTTTCCAGGTTAGAAACGTAATAAGCAGTACAATGATTTCATTTCATTTCTTTTTTTTTTTTGTAGCTGGCTGGTAAGGGGAACCAAGTACAATGGTTTCTTGCAGTAGAATTTTCATATATATTTTACACTAAATTAGGTATTAAAGTTGAGAAAAAAAGATAACATGCTCAAATCTGACCTTAGATACAGGTGCAAAATCAGTTGACCAAAAATTAAACACTTAAAGGGTGGAACTGATTTAACTAGATTTGATCCTGTCCACATGACTATTAATATTTTCATTGTTTTGGTCAGCATTTTATGCTTTGGTGTTAGAAATGAAGTGCTGGTACTTATATCTGAAAAGTTATAAAATGTTCTTTACTCGTCCTTTTCATATGCTACCTCACTTCAGTTCTATTGTAGTGGCGTGAGAACTTTTCTAAATGAGTATGTTGAGATAGCAATGTTAATTTCCTTGAGCTGACTTATGTCAAAGCCACTGTAAAGACTGCCATGTGCCATCACAGTAATAGCACTGTCTTTGGTTGATTTGCATGCTGAGAGAGTCATAAACTCCCTAGCTGTGTCCCATTATTTCCTCTACTTCATACCACTTGTCTCTTCGCCGTTTCTATAATGTTGTATAATGACAAAGATGTGTGTTGTTTTCACTTCCAGGTAATCTGATTCCAAGACATCAGGAGCTGTTTTATAAAAATCCTATGTTTGCTGGAATAAGGTTGCCTGAAATCAAGGAAATGGAACCTCTTGAAAGACGCTATCCTAAGCTCTCTGAGGTGGTGATAGATTTAGCAAAGGTAAGCATACTTCTTCTTTTCACTTTCTGACAGGGAATTTATACATTATGGAGACTTGGTTTTCTCTTTTTTCTTGTCTAGTTAATCTTTTAGGTCAACAATTTCCTCTGATGATTTTAATTTTTGTGCATTGAGTTTAAATAATTTAGTTGAGGGGAACTTCAGAAATAAAGGCCTGGAAATTTTACCTGTTTTAAAACTCATTAAGAAACCATATAGTTATCTAGAATGCATTAAGTATGGAAAACATACTTATCTAAAAACATAAAAACACTGTATGTTTTTAATGTTTAATATTTAAAATGTAAGCCATGTGTAAATGGAAAAGAGATGAAAAATAGGATGAGAAAATAAATAGAAGGGTAGAGAAGTAGGAAGATATTAAAATGTAGGGTCTGGGATTATGACCTGTAGTGTATTGTTGAAGGGGCTTTTGCTTAGCCACTGGATTCGCTGGAGCTAATTTACAAATGATCATTACTTTTGTTTTGCGTTTGACTGAGGAGTCAAATGGAATAGGGAGATACTCACTGGATCAAGTTGTCTCTTTAAATTGACCTTTCAGAATTATTAGCTCAGAAAGTTCCCATTATTAGGATTGTCCAGAGCATTGATAAAATAAGTATCTCTAAAACTAGGATTATGTAACATTTACCCAAGATATATATATATTTTTTCTTTTTGTCTTTTTTACTGGCCGGTAACGGGATCGCAACCCGCGGTGTCGCGCCCGTACCGGGGACCGGCAACGGGATCGCAACCCTCAGTGTTGCGCCCGCGCCACGCTCAGCCAGTGAGCGGGAACCGGTCACCACATGGGATCTGAACCCTCGGCGGGAGTGCCGCCACGCTCCCAAGCGGCGCACTCTCCAGTGCGCCACCGGGCCGGCCCTACCCAAGATGTTTTTTGCTTTTTGATTCTTTAACTCATTTAAAAAGTTTATTAAGCTTATAACTAATTACAACAAGTTCTTAGAATAATATATTGTATATAATCTACGTAGAAAATGTAAATATTTTTCATTGGGAGCAGCTTTGTGGTCTATCTGTAAAGAGATTTAAAGAGAATAAAGGTGAAACTATTGTCTGACTTGTATCCCTTAAGTAGAATCATTTAACTTTTTAACTATTTTATTATAGAAAGTTTCAAACATAGAAAAGAAAGTAGAAAGGATAGTGGTATAACGAACTCTCTCATACTTGTCTTGTAGCTTCGACAATTATCAGCCTTTGATAATCTTATTTAATCTATCCACATTCCCTTCAACTTTTTTATTTTACTTATGAGTACCACCATTATTTGTAGAACTTTTTTTGTTCATTTAAAGCTGCTTATTGAGTTCCTTCTATTTTTACTGGCATTTAGGGGTTTCAATGAATCAAAATAAGATTGCATTAAAATAAAATTATCTATGTAGAGCATCTAGGACAATAATAAGCAGAGTATGTCCTTTCCCTTCCATTCTGCAATAGCTTTAAGTTTTTAAAATTTACAGTAATTCCTTAAATATCATAAAATATCTAATCAGTATTCAAAGTTTCACTGATTTTCACATAATTTCTTTTTATAGGTTGAATTAGAAGACAAATGAAGTTTATAGATTGCAATTGGTTGATATGTCTTTTAAGACTTAATTAATGAACTCCTCTTTATCTCTTTCTTTTTTGTTTAAACCTTGCAATTTATTTGTTGAAGAAACTGGGTTATTTGTACCTTAGAATTTTCCATATAGTGTAGTTTAACATGTTCCTCATGTCCTGTATTTCTTATAAACTCATAGTAGAGCTAGGACTTGATCAGAATCAGGTTGATTTTTTGTCAAGACTACTTCATAGGAAGTTTGTATATTTCCGTCTAGAGTCACTGAATATCTGGTGGTCTTTATTTTTGTGATATTAACAACCATTGATGGTTACTGTCTGGATTTCTGCTTCGTTCTTTATCCTTAATTTTAGATGTTTAAAATTCATTGACTATAAAGAGGAATTTTGGGGGCTGGCTGGTTAGCTCAGTTGGTCAGAGCATGGTGCTGGTAACACTAAGGTCCAGGTTCAATCCCTGTATGAATCAGCTGCTCCCCCCATCCCCCCACAAAAGAGGAATTTTCTATTTTTCTATATTTAGAAATTTAAATGTAGGCAATTTTTCTTTGATATAAACTGTACGTATTCTTGATTTTTCAGAAATGCTTAAATATTGATCCAGATAAGAGACCCTTCTGTGCTGAGCTCCTACACCATGATTTCTTTCAAATGGATGAATTTGCTGAGAGGTATAGTACTGACCCGTGTTTTCCAGGCCACACCGACCAAGGGTTAAAGTAAGCCTTCTACAACAGTCACAGTGTTTCTCTTATTTCTGTTCTCATCTACTTTTACAGGATCTCAGATGTAAGATATCTACCACCCTACTCCTATTCACCCTTAGCAGTAATGCAGTTCCTAGGAATGGTCTCCTACATTCACTACACTATACTTTTGGTTTTTATGAGTCACTTCATGCTTTTCTTTCTGTCTCCCTGTGGTGACATCTACCATTGAGGTCACTGATTTCTTTGTTGCTACTAGCTGTGCGATGCCATTGTCTTGGGTGCTGGTGCAGTTCCAAAGGTGCCATCTCCTGTTGCTGCTGACCTCACACCACATTAAGTCCTGTGATACTGCTGACACTGCTGATGTGCTGGAGACCTTGTTGTGCCAAACCTGTGGTTACTAGAGCTGCTGGCATGGTCTCTTGTTCTGCTCCAGTTGCTGGCATCAGTGCAAATGACAAAACAAATAGTGAGATGAGTGGCAGTGGCATTCCTTTATATTTTGTAAATCTCTTTAATATCTAGCTTAATAAAAGATAGCTGGATACTCATATTTGCTTTTGCATTCAAATAGTTGTGATATGTTGTTTTGGTTGAAGTGTATGAAGAAACTCTGGTATCACACAAATATGTAATTAGAAAATGGAAGATAATTTTCATAGCCCTTTTAGATAATTGTGGGTATTCATAGATTCTATATAAAAATTCTGATACTATACCAAAACTTGACAGTAGTAGTTTCTCAAAGGTTGGTTACTTGTGGAATTTGAAGCCATATCAATGAACTTTTCTTTCTCTGTTAACATTAAAATTTTGTTTGTCTGTCTTGCGTCTTGAATGTATCTTTTACCCATTCATGCTTTTGTAACATCATGCATTAGTCATTTGGAAAATATTGGCCTGCTAAGTTATGCAGATCTTTAAAATGTTGATATATTTCATTATACAAAATTAAAAAGTCACATTCTATCTCATCAGAAAAGTCTTAAGTATTGGCAAACTGCTAAGATCACAGTGGTGGATACAAGTTTAATAGAATTCCAATCTTTGCATAAAAGTTTGAATTTTATGATTGACACAGTTATTATCAGTTGTTTTCATTGAAGTGACAAGCTCACTTTGTTCAGTTTTTAAAAGAAAATATCTGCCAAATACCCCAGATCTGATAACCAGAGTTCTCTATCTTTCTTACAAGTGAAATTGTTGTTCCATGAAAAAAATGTCTGGTTTAGTTTGTATCTCAAACAGTCATGCATATACTTTTCTTAAGACACCATTGCCCTTTGGTTTGCAGGAGAAATGCTTAATGCATATTCCCATTTTATCACACAGAATATGAAAAGAGACATGTTCTAAGGCTTAGCTTTAATAAAATTAATACCTTTTTACTAGTTCATCAGAGACATTGTTATGTGAAATTGCCTTTATTTTTAAAACTGAGAATGTGTACCTATGAAGAAAACAATGACTGTTAGTGAGTTTGTTGCTGCTGCTTAGATTCTTGGTAAGGTGCCAGCAGTATTACCCACCATTGTTTTTATATCATCAGTGCATGTTAACATGGTGAAAAAGATAACATCTTCATATTAAATAAGAATAGCTTAGACTTTGGGAACCTCCTGAAAGATTCTCAGGGATCCACAAAGGTCTACAGACCATCCTTTCAGAACTTCTATGATGTAGGCCATGATTTTTCCCATTTTAAATAACATAGTCTAGTCTAACATTAAATTTTTAAAAAATAAATATCTTAAAAATTAAATTTTTTTTTCTTGGTTTATCTGTCTCATACAATTTTATTTTCTTGACAAATGTATTTTTAAGTAGGTTTTCTCAGGAACTACAGTTAAAAATACAGAAAGATGCCAGAAATGTTTCTTTATCTAAAAAATCCCAAAACAGAAAGAAGGAAAAGGAAAAAGATGATTTCTTAGGTGAAGAAAGAAAAACACTTGTGGTACAGGTAAATGTTCATGTTTAAAATTTTAAATTTAATGGAAAAAAACAAAAAATTTTAAAGTTTTTTGAGTGGTGAGCAAGTTGTTAACTTTTAGCTTGTTGTAAAATATATCTTCTCTATAGACATTACCTGTTTAAAAAACTTAATATATCATGTTTTGAGTGCCTGCTTTGTACCAGACTGTGCAAAAGTGATGGTCAGGAAATCATATTCATCCAAGAACTCTTGGACACTTTTCTTCCTTAAATGATATGAGAGAAAAATATTGTTTTTAGAATTTTATATAAAGTAGAGCACATTAAAATTGAGATTTAGACATTTAATGTATTTTAAGTTTGCTTTTCCAGGTAAGTTACCTGGGATCTGTTCTTGATAAAGTAATTCAAATTCACCACCAACCCCCTCTTATCAAATGAACCAAAAGAATAAAGAGTTTTCAATTTTGTGTTCCTTGTCTCTGAATATATAAGAGCAAAAGTGGCATTCTTGATTCCTCTTACATGTTTTTTCCCAGTGAAATTTATGTATCTATATCTATATATCAGAGTTAGTGTGAATTGCATTTCCATTCTTTTTATGTTTTCCTATTAACTGAATAAGAATCTGGGTTTAATTTTAATTCCATTGGTAGGAAAAAGAAAACAGGCACAAAAAGGTGAGACCTGTGAAATTCTCCACTAGTTGATAAGTACTTTATAAGAAGAAGTGATTTTTATTCTCCACAAATCATTAACTTTATTTAAATTTTTATTAATGGTCAGGATAACAATGCTGATCCCCAAATTAAGGATTCTAAAGTATTTAAAATAAAAGGGTCAAAATTTGATGGACAAAAAGTTGAAAAAGGCAGTAGAGCTTCAAACACCAGCTGCCTCCATGACAACGGGACCAGCCACATCAAAACAGTGCCTTCAACAAGCCTTAAAGACTGCAGCAATGTCAATGGGGATCATACAAGGAATCCAGGCATGGCAATTCCCCCACTTACGTACAATCTTTCTGCCGTTGCTGCTGGTATTAATTCTGGAATGGGGACTATCCCAGGAGTTCAGAGTTACAGGTATGAATTAGGAAAATAAGACAAAAACTTCTTTAAGGATATATTTGCTAATTCCAGGTATTTGTCAATACATCCACATTGTTTTACTTTCAGGACTCTAGATGCTATTCATTCTTCTCAGGTGGCTGTTTCAAAAGAGTTTATGGCCTGTGTGATGAAAATTATTAGCATTTGATCAGAAAATTCACCTGAATCCTAAGAATATAGAGTTGTATTATTTAAGGTGGAGAATCTATAGCTATTTAGTCTAATAATGTAAAAAGAGATCATTGCTTTTGAGGGTCTGCTGCTGCATGGTATGGCTGTGAGCATTTAGTGGCTCAAAGAAGCTCCTTTTGGGAATTTTGCTTAAAGGAAGGTAATTCATTTGGTAAGAATTGGGGGCTGGGTGGGAGTCATGAACATAGTGATAAAAGATAGAATATTTCACCAGATTTATGTGCAATGTATATTTGGCATTAAATTCTGATTAAACTGCATGTCACTGTTGGTGTGGCATTTGGTTTTGTGCTTAAAAAAGTAATTATTACTGGTTCTAACTTAATTTTGTTGTTGTTGTTACAGAGTGGATGAAAAAACTAAGAAGTATTGTATTCCATTTGTTAAATCAAATAAACCTTCTCCATCTGGCATTTATAATATTAATGTGACCACATCCGTAAGTAAACTGTTCTCAGGAGTAGAAGAGAAAGCACTAGTCAGTTCTAGACTTTTATTAATATTAAATATGATAGTGAAGAGCTGAGAATTTTATTTGGAGACAAATAGAGTGAGACCTTAATTATGCATATATCATCCCAGCCTGTTATAGTCATAGATGTGAAATTCTGAAAGTTTAAATAAATTTTATGTCTGAAAGTTTAAGTATAGGATATTATTACAATATCTGTTGTAAATTTTTTTGGTAACATTGTAAATTTACGGAACCTAATGCTTGCCTTTCAGTTCTTTTTTGGAGTAGGCGAGAAGATAAATTGTCATTATCTCACCCACACCAGATTTTTGGTGAAAGTATTCTATTTATGCATTTAACACGTTTATTGATTATCTATTATGTGTAAGACACTAAAGATAAATAAGTCAATCTTCTTCTTCATGGAGCTCATGGTCTAGTAGAGGATCAACAAATTACAACATAGTGTCAGGTTATAATAGTAAAATCGTTTACAAGGTACAGAGATAGCACAGGAAGGAGTATGATTATTCTCAACGTAGCCTCTCTTTTTAAAGCTAAGTCAAATTATCATCATTCTTCTATTCAAAAACCTCCATTGGCTTCTCATTTCTGAGTAAAGGCCAGAGTCCTTACAGGGCCTAGAAGTCCCTGCATGATTCACTACCCCCACCCCTCTAGCCCATCTCCAGCAACTCTCTTTCTTCATCAATCTGTTCCAGCCACACTGATTTCTTATTATTCCTGGAGCATGGCCAAACATAACCCCACCTTTGGACTTTTACACTTGCCAGTTCCTCTGCTTTGCTTTTTCTCCTTTTTAGTTCACATGAAACCTTATTGTGAGATCTTCCCTAGTATTGTAACTCATTTTGTCTCCTCTTACTCTCCTCAATTTTTTTTCCATTGCATATACTTGACATCCTCTATATACTCTCATTTATATATTTTCTTTTCCCCCTACTAGAATGTGAGCTTCAGAGGCAGGGATTTGTGATTGTGATTGATTTATTTTCCTCTCTGCTCTACTCCTGCACCTAGAACAGTGTCTAGCACATTGAAATGGCTTAAGAAATATGGTGGTGGGCTGGCCAGTTATCTCACTTAGGAGAGCATGGTGCTGGTAACACCAAGGTCACAGGTCCAGATCCCCATACCAGCCAGCCGCCAAAAAAAAAAAAAAAAAATGTGGTGAACGAATGAATGTTTTTCACACAAAAAGGGAAGTATGGACATATTCCAAATTTTCTTTCTCGACTTCTCTTATTATCCTCAGAGTTGAAAAATATAGCCTTGTCATCTCTCTCATGATTTGGACGTTGCATTTTTTTGTTGTTTTTTCTGGTGACTGGCCAGTAGAGGAGTCGAATCCTGGACCTTGGTGTTATCAGCACCATGCTCTAACCAACTGAGCTAAGGGGCCAGCCCTGTTTTTTAATTAATTTTTTTATTCTTAGTTTATTATTTCTGTGCCCCTAGTACTTTCCTTTTGATACACCCTAATGATTTCTCTGTGAATATTTGTGTTTTATAATTCTGGTCTGCTTTGAGAGATTATATAATAGCAAGGCTTTTCAAAATAGCTGGTTTAATACCATTTTGCTGGAATTCATATCAGTCAGCTTTCAGGCATTGCATAATCATACTAACTGATAATTTTAGATCCTATTCCTGTTCAGTCTTCTTTAGGAGAGATAATCAAGAAAGGAGGTAAAGATTAGTGGGGAGAAGACCCACTGGAGTCTTTCCTTAATGAAGTAATGCAGGCAAAGCTAAGCCTAAATTTTCTTTAACTTCTAGGTTGAAGAACATCTCTTCTCTCCCATGCTTTATGCCCAATTCTGAAATGTGAATAAATATATTATTATAAATGTTTACTCTGTGTTTTATCTATCACTCTTTGAATGTGTAAATCTGGTAGTTTGTACTCTTTTTTTTTAATTTTATTTTTTGTACTTGCAGATAGTTTTTTTGAGTTAATTATTTTATTTTATAGATAATTTGAACCAAGAGCCTTAGCACTTTTTCTACTAAAAGAGTAAGCAGAAACATCCAAAAGAAAGAAACTCAAAAGCTCACCACAGACTCTTGAAGACTTTCTGGCAGTCAGAGTGTCATAATTCACAGTATATTAAACTCGAGGCATCAGGGAACCTCAGTGGTTTCATATTGTCCTTATGTGTGTGTGTGTATTTCATTATACATACCTGTATGTATGTATACACACATATGTGCATACGATTTCATCTGAAGGACTTGAAGGACCAGGGTATTGATGCCCTTCTTTTAATCTTTTGCTGCTTGCCAGGACTTAACACTGAAGGGTGGCAGGGGGGAGAAGGAGAAACCCATAGCAATCAAGTTATCTACTTGTTAGCAATTTTATTTTTTCTTTTTCTTTTTTTATTTTCATTTATCAATATACAATGTAGTTGACTTTCATGGCCCTTTACCAGTTCCTCCTCTCCCCTCTCCTTCTCCGTTCTGCCCCCATCAACATCATATCTATTCACCTGTCTTAACAAGTTCAAGGAATTGTTGTGATTGTTGTGTCTTCTTTTTGTTCCTCCCCTTATTTATTTGTTTGTATATTTATTTATTTCTGTTAGCTCCCACAAATAAGTGAGAACATGCAGTATTTCTCTTTCTGCACCTGGCTTATTTCACTTTATGTAATTTTCTGTAAGTCCATCCACGTTGCTGTGAATGGTAGAATTTCATTTTTTTTTTTTTTTTTATAGCAGAGTAGTATTCCATTGTGTAGATATACCACATTTTCTTTATCCACTCATCTGATGATGGGCATTCAGGCTGGTTCCAACTCTTGGCTATTGTAAATAGGACTGCAATAAACATGGGAGTACAGGTATCCCTTCAACATGATGATTTCCCTTCCTCTGGGTATATTCCCAGCAGAGGAATAGCTTAGTCATACGGTAGACCTATCTGTAATTGTTTGAGGAGCCTCCATACTATTTTTCATAAAGGCTGCAGCATTTTGCAATTCCACCAGCAGTGTAGGAGGGTTCCTTTTTCTCTGCATCCTTGCCAGCATTTATATTCTCAGTCTTTTGTATATTAGCCATTATAACTGCAGTAAGATAGGTATCTCAAAGTGGTTTTGATTTGCATTTCCCAAATGCTGAGTGATGTTGAGCATTTTTCATGTGTCTCTTGGCCATTTGTATATCTTCCTTTGAGAAATGCCTATTCATCTCCTTTGCCCATTTTTTAATTTGGTTACTTGTGTTTTTGCTGTTAAGTTGTTTGAGTTCCTTGTATATTCTGGATATTAGTCCTTTGTCAGATGTATATTTTGCAAATATTTTCTCCAACTCTGTTGGTTGTCCTTTTGCTCTGTTAATTGTTTCTTTTGCTGTGCAGAAGCTTTTTAGTTTGATATAATTCCATTTATTTATTTTTCCTTTGGTTGCCTGTGCTTTTGGGGTCATATTCATAAAGTCTGTATCCAATCCTACTTCCTGAAGTGTTTCCACAATGTTTTCCTTAAGGAATTTCATTGTTTCACGATGTATATTCAATTCTTTAATCCATTTTGAGTTGATTTTGGTATATGGTAAGAGGTACAGGTCTAGCTTCATTCTTCTACATATGAATGTCCAATTTTCCCAGCACCATTTACTGACAAGGCAGTCTCTTCCCCAGTGTGTAGTCTTGGTGCCTTTGTTGAAGATCAGATGTCTGTGGGTGTATGGGTTGATTTATTTATTTATTGATTGATTTTATTCTATTAGCTAGTATTTTATTGAGAATTTTTGCATCTATATTTATCAAAGATATCAGCTTATAGTTTTCTTTTGTTGTATTTTTTTCTGGTTTTGGTATCAGGGTGATGTTTGCCTCATAGAATAAGTTTGGGAGAATGACCTCTGTTTCAATTTTTTGGAATCGTTTGTAGGGAATTGATATTAATTCTTCTTTAAAGGTTTGGTAGAATTCTGCAGTGAAGCCATCCAGTCCTGGACTTTTCTTTGTTGGGAGACTGCAGATAACAGCTTCAATCTCTTTGTTATTGGGCTGTTCAGATTTTCTGTGTTGTCTTGGTTCAGTCTTGGTAGTTTGTGTGTGTCCAGAAATTTATCCATTTCCTTTAGATTTTCAAATTTTTTGATATATAGTTGTTTATAGTAGTCTCTAATGATTCCTTGTATTTCTGAAATATTGGTTGTAATGTCACCTTTTTCATTCCTGATTTTTGTTATTTGTGTCTTCTTTCTTCTTTTTTTAGTTAACCTTGCTAGTAGCATGTCAATTTTATTTATCTTCTCAAAAAACAACTTCTTGTTTCATTGATCTTTTGTATCTTTTGGGTTTCTATTTCATTTAGTTCTTTTTAATTATTTCTTTCCATCTACTAACTTTGGGTTTGGATTGTTCTAGTTCCTTAAGGGGAAGTGTTAGGTTGTTTACTTGCCAACTTTCCATTCTTCTGAAGTAAGCACTTAATGTGATAAATTTCCCTCCTAGTTCTGCTTTTGCAGTATCCCACAGGCTTTAGTATGGTGTGTTATTATTTTCATTAGTTTCAATAAATTTTTTGATTTCCTGTTTAATTTCTTCTTGGACCCATATGTCATTAAGTAGATTGTTGTTTAATTTCCATGTATTTGTATAGTTTCCAGAATTTTGTTTGTTATTGATTTCTAATTTTAATCCATTGTGGCCTGAAAAAATACATAGAATAATTCCATTTTTTTGGATTTGTTGAGACTTGATTTGTGAGTTAACATGTGGTCTATCCTGGAGAATGTTCCATGTGCTGATAAGAATGAATATTCTGAGGTTTTTGGATGAAATGTTCAGTAAAAATCTGCTAAGTCCTATTGGTCTAAAGTGTTGTTTAGATCTTGTGTTTCTCTGTTGATTTTTTGCCTAGATGATCTGTCCAATGTTGAGAGTGGGGTGTTCAGATCCCCTACATTATGGTATTAGTGTCTATCTCTTTCTTTAGGTCTAATAGTGTTTGCTTTATAAATCTAGCTGCTCTGACGTTGGGTGCATATATATTAATGATTGTTACATCTTCTTGTTGGACAGATCCTTTTATCATTCATTATATAATGTCCTTCTTTATCTTCTCCGTGTGTCTTTACAGGTGAGGCGAGTCTCTTGAAGGCAGCATATTGTTGGGTCCATATTTTTAATCCAATCAGTCAGTCTGTGCCTTTTGAGTGGAGAATTTAATCCTTTTACATTAAGAGTTATTACTGAAAGATGTTGGTTTACTCCTGGCATTTTATTGATTTTTCTTTGGATGTTTTAAATATCTTTTGTCCCTTTCTTCCTGATTTACTGTTTGTCTTCTGTGTTTGTTGGTTTCTTGGAATGGTAGATACACTTTTTCTCTCTTTATTGTTAGCATTTTTATTTTATTGGTGGGTTTTGTTTTTTCTTGAGTATTCGTGGTAGTTTTTCAGGTACCAGTACTCCCTTGAGAATTTCTTGTAAGGCTGGTCATGTGGTAGTGAACTCCCACAGTTTTTGTTTGTCTGGGAAATATACTATTTGTTCTTCATTATGGAAGGACAGGCTTGCTGGATAATGTATTCTTGGCTGTTGTCTTTTAGTATTTTGAATATATCATCCCATTCTCTTCTGGCTTTTAGGGTTTCTGATGAAAAGTCTGATGTTAGTGTGATAGGGCTACCTTATAGGTGACTTGATGCTTCTCTTGCAGCTTTGTTCTCTGTCTTTGAGTTTTGCCAATTTGACTATAACATGTCTTGGAGAGAACCTTTTTGGATTGAATATGTTTGGGGATCTGTGAGTCTCCTGAATCTGAAGATATGTATCTCTCCCTATACCTGGGAAGTTTTCTGTTATTATTTCATTGAACATGTTTTCAATGCCATTTTCTTTTTCCTCCCCTTCTGGAATACCCATGATTTGGATATTTGAACACTTAGGGTTGTCTGTTTTCTCTCTTAGATTTTCTTCAGTTTTTAAAATTATTTTTTCTTTTTGTCTACCTGTGTTATTTTGAACAGGCCATCTTCAAGGTCAGAAATTCTCTCTTCTGCTTGTTCTAGCCTGCTGGTTAAGCTCTCTGTTGTGTTTTTTATTTCATTGAAAGAATCCTCCAGCTCTGCAAGCTCTGCTACATTCATTTTCAGGGCATTGATTTCTTTGTACATTTCTTCTTTCAGATCCTGTATACTTTTTCTCATTTTGTTGTGTTGTCTAACTGAGTCTTGTATGTCAGTTTCCTTAGAATTGTTGCTTGAAATTCCTTGTCAGTCATTTCAGGACTTCCTGTTCTAAGATCTAGAACTTGAGAGTTATTATATTCCCTTGGTGCTGTCGTACTTTCTTGGTTTTTCGTATTTCTAGTATCTCTCTGTTGGTGTTTAGACATTGTGGCAGAGGCTTTCACAGTCCACTTGTTCCACCCTGGTGTCTGCAGCGGTGGCAGGGAGTTTTGCTGACGCTCAGCCACCTGTTGCTGCCTTGGGGCCTGTGGATCGGGGGGTTGGGCCTCTTGGGAATGGGGTCTCACCTGTCCTGGATCCCACAGAGATAGGTGCCAGGTCGGTGCTGCTGCCTCAGGGCTGTGGGTTGGAGGTTCCAGCAAATTTAATAAATTTATGAGGAATATGTTTTAAATAATAGGATGAAATTGTTTTCTGTGTTATTAATGCTTGTCAATTTTTTTTATTATTCTAGTCTTTCAATTCCACAAGTTTTAGGATATGAACACAGTAGTTACAAAAGAGGGAAAGCCTAGCTAACCTTGAAAATAAATCATTTGTGTTTACTATTCCAATCATATTAGGTCTCTAGTGAAAAGAGGCTCTTTCAAGCAAATAAGAAAAGAAGGGAATACTCTAAGACAGATATCCATTTGCCTGAACTGAATTATAATCATCTCCCTGAACTACGAGACTTGGAAGGTATGGATATGTTTATGATGTTTTTACTTTTTTCAGCCCTTTTGTTTACATTATTTAAAATTTATGTGAAATAAACAATATTAAAAATAAAAATTCATAGTAACTTCACATATTTAAGTATGTGTATACATACTTACATATGTATAAATATCATAAGTTCATACTGAGAAACAGATATAGAATGTGAAAAACTGACAAAATATCTAATATTTTCACTGTTTTTATGGTCCATTTTATTCAGTTCGAAATTCCAGGCTTGTAAGGAAAGAGAACAAAATTCTTTCAGAGTCTCGAATTCCTTCTCTGGCCGCTATTGACCTACATGTTCCCAGTATTGCATTACATCAGGTACAGAAATACTCTTTGTAGGTTGGATGGAACTTGGGTCTCTCTCATACTTTAGTTATGTGTTTTAGGGAGAATTGTCCTTCAGAACTGGGCCAGTTTATTGGTGGGATATATAAAATTTTGCTTGTTAAATTTTGTCTTATGGTTCTTTGCCCTTTGTACCTTTATTACTTGTATGTTTATATAAACATTTTTCAACTTGCAGAAATCTGTTTTTTGTATGTTAAAAATGTGTGTGTGTGTGTGTATGTGTAGGCTAGCTACAGTCTTTATATAACTATAGGTTTTGTGATAGTTTATAGTACTTCACTGCATTAACCCCAAACTTATAAAACCTACCTTTCAGAGTGAAACTCTGAAATTGTTTTTATTCTTTCAAAAGGAATTGTTTACTTGACATTTTTCCCAAGACAGTACATTTCATGTATGTTAAAGATTTCTGATTCCATATAGTCATCTTTTTCTATAACTTCTCTTAACTCATCAGAATATGTATGTTTCTACTATTTTATATCAATAGCATCACTCATTTTTACATTGAGAAAATTGGAAAACTTTTTAATCTCTTGAGCCAACTGTAACTAGTTACAAACTTTGGGTATGGGTCATTGTACTTTTTTTTTTTTTTCTTCAGACAGATTTTTCATCTTTGTTTGAAACTAGGAATCTTTTGTTTTGGAATTTAATTCTCCATCCTCATTATTAAGCAATTTCATTTCATAGAGAGCACCTGTATGTTGCCTTGTTACCCATGTGGATGCTTTTTCTACTGTTACTCTTTAATAGTTTTGTAGAGCTCTACAAATGAGAAGAATAATATTGTTGAGGATAACAAACTACAGAGGCAGTTACTAGAGGTGCTGAGGAAAGAGCTTGTTACTGCCGTTGCTTTGCCTTGTCTATCGCCAGCAATTTCTATAGCAACAGTTAATCAAAACTGAACAAATTCCTGTTGTGAATAGATTAGTCACTGTCACATATTCCACATTTAGAAACTACAGTGTCTCAATAAAGTCCTTATATATTTCTAAACTTAAATTTCACGTGGATTTTAAAGGTGAAGAATTTTCACTTGCTCATTGTGAGTACACTATTGTTCAAAAGACTTTTCAGGGTTGTCATAACTGAATCAAGTTTCATGTAATGAAAGAAATGCTTTGGCTGCCTTACACTTCTTCTGTGTTTTTATGCTGTTCTAGTCTTTTTATATTTATAAATTATTACTCTCAATTTACTTGTCAACTTCCAGTTGAATATAAAATATAATAAAGGAGAAAGTAGATGTAGTGAATTATACAAATTAACACTAAAATAACATTAGTTTATGGGTGGAAAATCAGAATGGAAAGAGAAACAACAGGAGACTGAAAGCAAAAGGCTCTTTGGCAGAAGCTGTGACTTGCTTTGCACTCTTCCTTTATGGTATTTGTCAATACATTGAACTACATTTTACTTCTGTACATAATGCAGAAACCCCACATTTATAAAAGCCTATTATGTACCTTCTGGAACAATGTGTAACACAGATTTGTGTAAGTCAAGTATTGCATAACCCATGGATTCTGTCTCCACTCCCTCACCCCCTACACACTTACGCATGTTATGTGTTTATACACATTCATAACTGCACATTTAAGGAATAAATATCTGTAGGTGGTCTCTTATTAGAGGTGTAATTATTTAGGCATGGTATAAGCATTTGAGTTGTTTGCAGTTTTTGATAATTAAAAATAAAATGCTGTAAACATTTATATATATGTTTTTTGTGTGTGAGTTTAGGTTTTTCACATTTAGTGGGTAAATACCTGTGAGTGGGTTTTCTGGGTAATATGGTGAGTATATGCTTAACTTTATAAGCAACTATTAAACTTTTCCAAGGTGACTATCATTTTGCATTTCCACCATTAATGCGTAAGAATTTACTTGTTTCTCATCCTCATCAGCACTTGGTATTGTCAGTTTAATTTTAGCCATTCTAATAGGTGTGTGGTCGTGTCTCACTGTTGTTTTAATTCGTATTTCCCTAATGATGTCAAAAATCTTTTCATGTTTTTTTTGCGCATGATAGATCTATATACCTTCTTTGATGAAACATCTGCTCAAATCTTCTGCTCATTTTTGATGAATTGTTTGTTTACATATTGTTACATCATTATTTATTTTGATGCTCAAATTATTCCAGATTTGTCTAGTGGGATCCCCTTCAAGGTGGCTTCTGGGTCCTTTTTGACATGTCTCCAATATTCTTTGGTAAATTCCTTGCTGTCTGGTGTAACAGATGATGCAGATTCATTTGTATTTTTTTTTTTTTTTTTTTTTTTTCCCGGGGTGGGAACCAACCATTACCCGGGGGTTTTTTTTTTTTTTTTTTTTTTTTTGTCCAGGTCTGGAATCAGCCATTACTCCAGGGATTCCTTGTTTTTTGCTTTTTTTTTTGGGGGGGGGGGCACCGGGCTGGTACAGGGATTGAACTCCTGAACCTTGGTGTTATGAGCACCATGCTCTAACCAACTGAGCTAACTGGCCAGCCAGCCTAATTTGTTTTATTGACAATCATATTTAGAAGCGAAGATCTGGGCTCTATGTGTGTTCATTGCTTTTGGGGAAGTCATTGGTGCAAAGCCCTCTCAGCAGACAGAGATAGGTACATACACATACACACATACATGCTCATATTTACTATGTATTTATTTCTATATATACCTGTGCTTATTCAAATCTATACAAATACTTCTTTTTTTTTTTTTTGTCTTTTTTTGTGTCCGGCAACGGATCGCAACCCTCAGTGTCGCGCCCGTACTGGACTGGGACCGGCAACGGGATTGCAACCCTCGGTGTTGCGCCCGCACCTCACTCAGCCAGTGAGCGGGAACCGGTCTGTATGTGGGATCCGAACCCTCGGCGGGAGCGCCGCCGCGCTCCCAAGCAGCGCACTGTAGCAGTGTGCCACCGGGCCGGCCCCCAAATACTTCTAATTCTAAGTCACCACCACAGAGTTTGTTCTGGTTTTCTATTGCATTCTTCAACAGTGAGAAACTTAGCTGCAAGTTATCTCATGGATAATTTATTTACTTATTTGATTAATCCTTTTGTATGTATCTAATCTCCTGTTATTGCCACTGTAATTTCCCTTTTTTAAAAAAAGATGTCCGTCACATTTTAATATTAAGGTTTTGTTACCCTCATAAAACAAGTTGAGCAGTGATCTCTTTTTATTTGCTGAAAAAGTTTCATAAGTTGGTATTATTTATTTCTTGAATGCTTGATAGAAATCTCTGGTGAAGCCATCAGTTTTAGGAGTTTTCTTTTTGGGAAAGTTTCGGATGACAAATTCAATTTCTTTTTTTTTCACTCCCAAATTCAATTCCTTTAACAGATGAGGTGCTATTCAGATTTTAAGAGCTCTTGTGATTACACTGGGCCTGCCAGGATAATCTGTATTTTAAGGTCAGGTGATTAATTCCATGTGCAAAGCCCCTTTATAGCAGTACCAAAATTAGTTTAACTAACCAGAGACAGGAATCTTAAGGGCATATCTTTATAATTCTGCTGACCACAGAAGGTTGAGACCATTAACATTTAATGTGATTATTGATATGTTTGGATCTAGCGGTATCCTTTTATTATTCATTTTCTGTTTGTTCCTCTGTTTTTCTCTTCTATCTTCTTTCATTTTTTAGTATTTTTAGTATTTATTTTTTTTGCAATATCTCTTTGTATTATTTTCTTTAGTGATTGCTCTAGGAATTATAATATACATAACTAATCTTTCACAGTTTACATTGTACCACTTAATATAAAATGTAGAAACCTTTCAAACATATTACCTTCCTCCCATCTGAACTGTATGTTAGAGCTATCATACATACTACATTTATATACATTGAAAATCCCACCAAACTATATCATACTTTTTGCTTTAAACAGTCATAAATATTTCAAACAATTTATGAGAAAAAATTGTCTTTTATGTTACCTAGCTATTTACTATTTCTGTTGTTCTTCCTTCTTTCCTAGATTCTAGTTTTCCTCTGGTATTATTTTCCTTCAACCTGAAAAACTTGCTTTAGCATTTCTTGCAGAGTAGGTCTGATGGTGACAAATTTTCTTAGTTTTCCTTCATTTGAGAGTGACTTTATTTTCCTTAATTCTTGAAATATATTTTCACTGGATATAGAATTTGGATTGACGGGCTTTTTGTTGTTTTTCTTTTCTCCCAGCACTATAAAGATGTTATTCCTCTGTCTTCTGATCTCTATGATTTCTGGTGAAAAATTCTCAGACATTTGAGGAGTTGTTCCCCTGCATGTAATGTTTCATTTTTCTCTAGCTGCTTTCAAGATTTAATCTTTATCTTTTGTTTTCATTAGCTTGAATATGATTTGCCCAGGCATAGTTTTCTTTGAGTTTTTCCTGTTTGGGGTTTGCCAGGCATCTTGAATCTGTGAATTTATATCTTTTACCAAATTTAGGGAGTTTTTGGTCATCATTTCTTCAAATAATTTTTTCTGCCACAACATCTTTTTTCCTCTCCTTCTGTGATTCTAATGATATATTTTTTAGATCTTTTGGTATTTTTTTCATGGTTCCTGAGACTCTGTTTACTTTTCTCTAATCTTTTTTTTCCCTGTTCTTCAAATAGTGCAATTTCTATTGATCTATCTTCAAGTTCTCTGACATTTTACTTTATCATCCCCATTCTGCTATTAAGCCCATCTATTGATATTTTTAAAATTTCAGATACTGTATTTTTCAGTCATACAATATCCATTTGGTTCTCATAGCTTCCATTTCTCTGCTAAGAATTCCTATCTCTTCATTAATTTCAACTATATTTTCCTTTACTTCACATAGCATAGTTATAATGGCTACTTTAAAGTTTTTATATGATGGTTCCAAGAGGTTTTTGTTTTTGTGTTTTTTTAAATAAGTAGGAGAGATGGGTTGTAGTGGGCCTACATCACCACGGTAGATCAGAAGTATCTTTTAATGTAAATATAAGCTAAGAGGTCAAAGAATAAAGTCTCTTCGCTTCCTCCTTTTCCATGCAAGCATCTTGAGCTATAATAGTTAATTCTAAACATCTGATATTTAAACAACCAGAAATGGAATTTTTGGGGAGTGGGACTTTTACGATTATGACAACCTGTGATGCTCGATTATTAATTTATAGGTATCAGGGTCTCCCCTGTCAGATGATTCAGAAGCTGATTTACCTCAAATGGAACACCAGCACTGAGGATCATGTTGTTTCTGAGCTGGGTAGGTCTGAATTCTAATATGTAAAGCTGAGAAACCTTCCACTGGAAATATTCTGTGGCTTGCTGAAGACCACATTTTTCAGTTGAAACATTTTCTGGTGATTGAATCTATGTGAACTCTTGACAGAGAAAGAGTTGTGCCATTTAGAAAACCAGATTTCTCAGTCATTTGTTTCTGGGATGAAATCCTTTTTCATCAAGCTTATATCTCTTGCTCTTAAACTAATCTCCTGCATTTTATTGGATTCAGTAATGAGAAGTTAGGATACGTGCTTAAGAAAGATACATACTTATCTCCCTTATCAGTCATTTGCCCTGTGGGCTTGTAAAGCAAGATAGATTGAATGATTTCTTGATAATCTCTTTCCTGATAAAGAGGGATCAGCACTATACCAAATGATTACCTTCCTTTTAAATATAATTTTTGAGTACTAAAAAGACCCCCAAAATAAAAATCAGACATTTTTGAGTGATAATTTGCTATATGACCTCAAGCAAATCATTCTATGTTTAATATCTCATTAATTCTATATAAAATATGGTGGTAGTAAAATCTAACATTCTCATAACTGTATTATTGGAATTGATCTGTTAACCTCCACAAAACATTTTGAGCATCTGTGACGTCAAAGGTGAATTTACTGTGAAGTGAACAAAGCTTAGGTTTTACTTCCTCATTTGCATAGACCCTTCCAAGGCTCTGGGAGAGGTCTTTGAAATGTATTTGTTTGAGTTAGTTCTTGTGAACTATGAACAATTAATTCATACAAACTGTGTAAACTGCCCTACAAAACCTGGATTTGATTTGTCAACATTAGTCATTATTTGCATAAAAGGAGATAGTGTACCTCACATAATAGTTTTGATTGGTAATTATCCTATATATCATCTTAAAAATCTTGTTTTTAATACATATAATCTGGAAAGAGGGGAGGAGAGGGGGTTAGTGAGAAACTAGTTAAGGGTCACAAAGAATGATTACATTTTGTAATGATGAATATACTAACTATCCTGATATGATCATCACACATTATACTTAAGTACTGATATTCAACTCTGTACCCCACAAATATGTATAATCAATTATGTTTCGATAAAAAAATACATAAAACGTATAATCTAAGGTTTTCTTAGACTACATAGTACCCAACAGTGTTATTAACGTATACAATGTGAGAAAGCAAGTGAGATAGAAATAAATTTCTAGAAAGATTTTATGTAAAATATTTGGTGTTATGTATTTCTGTGCTTTTAGATGATGCTCTAGCACTTGAGATGACATCTTGCAATGAGAATGCTGATACCTAAGGAGGAGAGATTTGTGATTTTGATTGTTTCCTTCTGAACTGCCTGCATTTTCTGAGAAAGGCCTTGCAGAAGAAGGAAAGACAAAGACTTCCAAATGTTTCAAAGGAAGATCGAACAAGTGTCCCTCTCTAACTGTTATCCCAGCACCTTTCAAGTCCACTGATGCTATTTCACGATATAGCCAATGAAAGAATACCTATATGTTCTTGTTTGTTACATGAACGTCTATTTACTGTTAATAAATTGTGTATTTAAAGTTACCCAAGATTAAAAGTGAGCAAAAAAGAGGAGGGAGAAACATTATAAAAGGTCATGTTATTCATGCATTGAACTTTGCATGTTATCTATATAAATGTGTATATTTATTTTGGAGTGGGTTTGGTGGGAGATAGGTGATAAAAACTAGTATCAGTTAGAGAAAATGTTTCGTTTAACCTAACTTAAATATAAAAACACACTTAAAAATCTTGCTTGTTGGGCTGGCCCGGTGGCGCACTGGAGAGTGTGCCGCTTGGGAGTGTGGCGGTGCTCCCTCCGAGGGTTTGGATCCCATGTGGAGACCGGTTCCCGCTCACTGGCTGAGCGCTGTGCGGGCGCAACACCGAGGGTTGCGATCCCGTTACCGGTCAGTAAAAAAGACAAAAAGGAAAAAAAAAATCTTGCTTGTTTCTAGGCATTAAGGTGATATGTAACTGCTGTTCATGGGCAGATGTATGTATATCTTTGTTTTCTGTGATTACTGTCGATATTCAATCAGTGTATTATGGGAATCTGACCTCTCCACTGATCTAAGAACCACACTAATGCAAATCTAACAGAGAAATCTTTTATTTTCAGTGAGTTAGTAGAATTTTGACATTGGATAGTCCTCTGTACTGTAAGATTCTGGTGCTAATGTTCCTGTGAGAAGGAACATAATTTTAACAAGAGTTGAGAAGGAGAATTTTGTAGGTATATCTTGGAGTTGAGTAGTGTACTTCTCATTGAAAAAAGAGGTATACATACAAAATTAGGAGATGAGAAGCAGGGTTATCTATTGATCAGGACTCTTCTCTGGGCCATTGCTATTGAACCACCCAGCTGAAGAGGCTTTGGGGAGGGAATCTTCATTTTTATGGACTCCACTCTTGTTTATTGGTAGTTTGAGGGTGATATTAGACAGAATACGGGGAAGTTCCTGTTTCTCTGTTACCTCAAACACTTGGGCTTTCCCAGAAGCTTTACACCAAGGTGCAAAATCACTTACCTACATCCACACATCTTTTCTGATACATGGGTCCACAATATTTTAGGTGTGAGGGTTAAAATAAATTGGCTCCAGTTTCTTGGTTTCCAGCCATATCCTGCATTTATCATTTTACAGAATAGCTGTTAAAGGAACCAGACTTTGTGTCAATTTTTCTTTTTTGCCTTAATTAGTTAAGAGTATGTTGTTTTTTTTCTGGAAGCCATTGATTAAAACTTAGCCTAAGAATTTAAGTAAAACTTTTTTTTTTATTACTCTGAGGATCTTAATATTGAAATTCAAAGTGTCTTAAGAAACTTGGGCTTCAAGAGAGTAGGACATTGAGGAGGCAAAATAACGGGCTCCAGCGTACAAGTCTATAGGTGGTGTGGTTAAATTAAAGTTTGGTCTTAATTTAAAAACTCTTTTACCTCCGACCAGGTGTTTCACTAGATTAGTACGGCTAACATGCTGCAAAAAAATTAGTGTATCAGCATTAATAGGCTTTACATTAGAATATTATTTTATTTTTACTTTGAAAAATATCACCAACAGACTCAATAGCATGGAAAGCAGACAATACCTAAATCCAAGTGGCACTCCAGCTTATTTCAATGCTATTTTTATGTAAAGATTAGTGTGAAAATATCAGCTCAATGTCTGAGGGTCTAGGACCAGTTACCTTCTCATCTCTATACTTGCTTTTGGTATCTTTTGCCTATTAAAACACCTTAGAATTAAGGAACTAAAAATTATTTACTGTAAGTCCAAGTTCAGATTTGGGGATCGTATCTGGTTGGAACCTTGGCAGAACTACTAGAAAAAAGAAGATTTTGCAAATTCGGCTGTAGATACAGAACTAAAATAATGCTTTTTTTCAGCTTAAGGTTATTTAGTCTCTCTTTACAAGGATATGATTTCATCACATACTAATAGGAAATATGTGTATGTACTTCTGGGGGCAGTGGGCTTGCTGTGTGTATGTATGTTTTAAAATTAATAAATATTATCTTACTGAGCTCCATAGATGTTTTTAATTTAGATTTATTTAATTAGGAGACTATAAATAATATATATACCACTGTATGGAATTTAACAAATAAGTTTGAAAAAATCTGTTAATTCTCTGTTTTTTGGAAACTTTAGATATAGGGGTGGCAAGTTAATTTTCTTGTTCAGCCAGTAGTACAAGCAGCATGGTCATAAAATAACATTTCCTATAAAGACTACCTGGTAAAAGTTGTGACAGATCTGAGCTTAAAACCTGGTTCTCCTGATTGAGAATCCCTTGCTTGGTTAGAATATCTGACTTCCCATTGAAATGGTAACATAAAAGATGTGTTTTCTATGTGACTCTCATTATTGGTTTCTTTATCTTAGTTGTGCTACAGTATAAGGCTAGATCTGTACTAAGCTGTGAGTCAAACTAGACTGAAAAATGTGATTAACTTGTTTTCTAAGCCCTCCTCTGAATAATCAAACCACTGGCAGGGAATTAGAAAGATACCAGAGCACTGCTCCTAGGGCTTTAGGCTAGTCTTAGTGAATTGGACTAAATGGATTTTTCTCTTTTGTTTTGTGTTAAGTGTTTTTAATTAGAAATGGGCCCTTAAGGGGCTGGCCCGGTGGCGCACTGCTACAGTGCACCACTTGGGAAGTGCAGCGGCGCTCCCGCCGAGGGTTCAGATCCCACATACAGACCGGTTCCCGCTCACTGGCTGAGCGAGGTGCAGGGTCAACACCGAGGGTTGCAATCCTGTTGCCGGTCCCGGTCCGGTACGGGCGCGACACTGAGGGTTGCGATCCGTTGCTGGTCACAAAAAAAGAGACAAAAAGGAAAAAAAAAAAAAAAAAAGAAATGGGCCCTTAATACTCCTCTATGTGAATAAAAAATTATGTTCTTGCATTGCTTTCTAAAGGGTCTTATTTTTTTCTCTTGATAGCCTCAGACATGAAATAACTTGAAAATGTAATTAACATACAGCTTATCTATTTCCTAACTTGCCCTTCTGAGAAATACTTTACCACAAATCTTGTTGTCATCACTTGTAAGTAACTTATGATTTAGAGCTTTGTGTTTATAGATATTGGTGGATATCTGATGTTGAATGTATTATACACTGAGAATTTAAAATTTTCTTTAAAACCCCATACATAAAATGTCATTTTCCTTTGTTTTCAGTGAAATTTATTTTCCTGCATTGCATAGCTTTAATTCCTTTATTCTCTCCTTCGGCACGTAGGGTCATCTCCTGTAGAAATGAGGAAGGTTCCAGTAAAATTTTGAAAAATGTATTGTGAGTTAACATGAATATAAGAAAGGTTTAGGGAAACAAAAACATCATATCTCAATTCAGCATGTTTTCCTGTTTCTAGACCAGGGTAGGATCTCCATCAGTCAGGAGAACAGGCAAGAACAATACCCAATGTCACTGACTTGCTAAATTTTCAGTGTCTCTAAGCGTGGGGAATTGCATCTTATTTATCTCTTTCTGTTTCACACATCTAGCACGGTGATTTCTTTTTTTGTCTTTTTGTCTTTTTCCGCGTCCGGCAATGGATCGCAACCCTCAGTGTTGCCCCTGTACCGGACCGGGGACCGGCAACGGGACTGCAACCCTTGGTGCTGCCCCCGCGCCTCGCTCAGCCAGTGAGCGGGAACCGGTTCGTATGTGGGATCCGAACCCTCGGGCGGGAGCGCCGCCGCGCTTCCCAAGCGGCGCACTATCCAGTGTGCCACCGGGCCGGCCCCTAGCACGGTGATTTCTATGTGGCAATAGTAATAATAGCCCTATGAAAGTGTATGAATAATATGTTATTCATACTTTATAGTCACAGTAATAGGCTTAGAAAGTTTAAGGAATTTACTGTGTCACTCACTTAATAAATGATAGAGCCATGAGTGTTTGTTGAAATAAATATATGGTCATGATTACTTAAATCTGGAATTAATTTTTTAAAAAAACAACATTTGTTTAGATAATATAAACTTTGGGAGCTTAAACTCCTGGAGGTGAGGAATTTCCCCAGCCATTAAACAAAACTTCACTATGACTGAGCCTAATTTGGGTACTGCTCATCCCTGAATCAATCACTGTAGTCAGGGAAATGGCATGGGCCTTGGGACTCCTGTTAAATTTCCTTTCCTGAATTAATGGGAGCAAAAGGAAATGGGGTTAGGCGGATCGGTTTAGGCCAATGGCAGCCTACTCTTGAAGCCAAATGGCTTCTATAAAGCAGTGGAGGCATAGGATGGACACTGGAGAAACAATGACAGGGCTCACCAGAGATGGACATTTTGAAGCTGCGAAGGTGCTTCGTTTTAGATGTTATGTTATTGATTCTGCCAAATTGTCCTCCGAAAAGGCTGTTCAAATTTATATTCCTACCAGCAGTATATGAGAAAATCTATTTTCTCACATTAGATATGATTAATAATTTTCATTTTGGCCAGTCTGATGGGTGAAAATTATCTTGTTTTGGTTTATATTTTTTTGATTACTACTGAGGTTGCACATATTTTTACATCTTTCTAAAAATATTTATTGGCCATTTGAGTTCCTCCTTCTGTGAATAAAAAATATTAAAGGTCTTTTTAAAAGATAAAGCAGATTTTAGCTTGAGTATTGGAGATTTTCCTTTTCAGATGTTGTCCTACCCCTGAAAACAAAGGCAAACGCCAGATTCAGATAATATGGTTTGGCTCAAAATATACTGTGGATCAAAAATTATTTTGGGGACATGCAGTCCATCCAGAAGAATGTATTTTTAATTACATTTGTCTTAAGTAAGGTGGTCAGGTCCCTTTTTTTCTATCGGGTCTTGGGAGGAAATAAGCCAGTGAGAGATAAGCACTCCTCCTTACTAGGGTAAAGGGAGGAAGGTGGTCAGTTCTGCTTGGATGGACAAGAGTTATTTAAGGAGAGTCGTAAAAGGGCTAAGCTCTGGGGTTTCTGCAATTGGCTTTAGATCCATTTTACTAGGATGATATCCTACTCCTTTGGCTCAGGGCTTCCAAGCTATGATCCAGGAGGTGTCAGTAAAGCCCCTATCACTGTAAGCCATATCCACCTCAGGGGGAAAAACGCTAAAATCTGTGATGAATTTTACCTGAGGGGTATTATCTGTTTCTTTTTGTCCTTGTACCCAATAAATGGTCTTCTATTTCTGTGTTAAGTGATGCTCCCTAGTGGACATTGTTAGTTAAACACTCTAGAAGTCCAGGCTCATAGGGGTTTTATGAAGCAAAGTGAGAGAGAAGAGGGCCAAGCACACGACCTCCTGACGTGTCTCTGTGATTATATCAGGGCTCCCCTAATGTCAGCAGGTGGCGGTTGACTCTGAGGTCAGCAAGGCAGAACCAGTGGCTGGAGGACGGCTGGGTTGGTGGGAGCATAGGTGGTGGGGAGGAGCTGTGGACTTCGCTGAGAATCCTGAGTACAAGAAAAAAGTTGGAAAATTATCAAATTAAATTTGCACCACAAAATGAAACGTGGGCAAGTGGGTAAAGGCAGGCTGGTCAGGTCACTTCCAAGAATGCCAGTCTAAAAAGGGCTCAAACATCTTTGGAATTAATTGAAAATAGGTTTTCAAGTGTGATGTCTACATAAGTGACAAAATGTAAGTTGGTCCTCACAATGAATGGAAATTTGAAAATTAGTCCTCATTGGCGCTGGCTTGCTTTCTTGATTATATTTTAAATGCAGTATAGGGAGTTTGCATGGCACAGCCCCAGACACATTTCCAACCTTGATAGCATTCAGCTAACACATATAAGTCAGCTGTCAGTCCATTGAAATTCTGAATTTGAAAAAGTGCAATGCATAATATTGTTTAGGGGAAATAAGCCTCTATTTTGTGTCTAAAATTTAAATCCTTAATGTACCTCTCAATGTGTTGATTTGAAAAAAAAAATCACCAAAGAAAACTGAAGAGAGGAACTATAGAAAAGGAGAAATGTATTGCCAGTATGAAAACAGAAAAACCTTAAAAACATGTTTTGTTCTCCTTCACATGAAAAAAAATTTTAAAAATACACATTTTAAACAAACTTTTATTGCTATGAAATCTACCTCTATCCTGAGTGAGGGTGGGCATCTAATTATCTGAGTGAAGAGAATTGTGAAAATATTTCCAAAGAAGTTAAAATGCTTATTATATGAATAATGTGTATATATATATATATATATATATATATATATATATATA